CAGTTCAGCCTGTGTGAGCTGATGGGGAACTAGGGTGGAGGATAATCTTCACAGAGCAGGTAAAGTTTGAGTTGAACCTGAAAGGTGAGTGGTAGAAAACATGGTAAGTTTAGGGAAGTACAGCTGGTTTTGGAATAGTTGGGAAGCAGGCAGAGTTGATCTCCAGCATACAAATGAAAACATCAGACATGAGCACACAACTTGGGCAGGGAGGAAGAGCCTGGAAAAATAAGCCAGGTCAAGAGCTGGGGCTGTGTGTGTGCACAATGGAAGGGTAGACTTTTTCACTGAAAAATTTAAATAAATGAGTGTGAAATCAGAGTTGCATTCCATCAAGATATCTTTCCATCAGTCGTGGCCTTTTCAGTCTGTTCTACCTACTGGGCTGTTTCTCATTTTTAAGCACATTGTCTTGGAATGTCCTTGCTGGATGCCATCTTGTTTAGTTTAACCTCCTCCTCCTTGTTATTTTAACCTAAGCCCAGGTAATCACTGTGATTTTAATTGTCTCCAGCCATCAGGCAGCAAAGGGCTGGTGGGTATTTTGGAAGATTCCCAGCCGCTGGAGTGGGGGAAGGGAAAACCAGTGGAGAGTGGTACCTACGAGTGTTTCCAGTCTTTGTGCTTCCAAATCAGCATTTCTGGTTGGAGCCCTTCAGAGTGGGCTTTGTAAAAATTTAGTCGAAAATCAACTTATGGATTCCTCCCTAATTGGTTTGCCAAGTTTAATGTGTTACTGGTCAAGGCAAGCTGGCTTCTATTATGCACTACAGTGAGCATTTCCAGTGCTGCTCTGATCCCAATGGGGGCTTGCTGTTTTTAGAAATAAATCTTGGTTTCGGTGAAGGTTGGAATTATTGTGTCCTCTGAAATGACCCCAGAAGTCCCTCCCCACCCCACCCCAACAGATTCAGCATTTTTGATCTTTGACTGCAAAGAGCAAGTCTTAGATTGGGCAAATGCATGCTGGAGGAATACGGTTTTATGTTCTCTCTCTCTCTCTCTCTCTGTCTCTTCCTGAAACAAAACCAAACTTACCATTTGTCACTGCCTCTTTGGATTGAGTCTTGGAAGGGTTCAGGGTGTGCAGTCTGAGCAGACAACACCTGCCCTGGCATATCCACACAGGGAGGCTTTTCTGGACTCACATCAGAGGATGGGTCAGGAGGATCCAGTTACTCCAGGCCCAGTGTCATCAGGGTTGAAAGAACCCACTCTCTTGAGGTTGTCCAGTGCTGATCATACAGACTTACATGGCAAGGCGAAGGAGACAAGATGTTTTGTTATGGGATCAACGTTATTAGGGGGAACTGTTAGCATCAAACCAGTACTGGGAGATGTGTTGGCAGAAAGGCTACCACAGAGAACTTGTCTCTGGAGAACTTGTGAAAGTGAAAAAGCAAGCCTTTAGGGCAACCCTAGAAGAGAGAATTCCTGTCTACCTCAAGAGTTCATATGAAAGAGAAAAGAGCAAATGGAAAATTCCATTTTTCTTGTAATCCTGGAAGGACATTGGGTTCCAAGTGCCACTTACATGAATGAGACAAGGGCATGCTGTATACATTTGCAATCACTCAGAAATAAACCACCCTTTTCCTCCCCATCAGTCCTCTTGCCAAACCCTTGCAGAAGTTTTGGAACGTTTACATGGTTCTGGGGGAAGTCATTTGGGATAAGAACATTTGTCCTGTGAAACTAAGTTTATCAGAATAAAGAAGGCCCAACTTCAAATTCCATAAGTAAAGATACATCCAGATATATATATGCAGACATGCATTTTACAGGTTTGAGAACATTAGAGTAGCATCTGTTTTGCTTTCCTTGCTCATTCCACTCCCCTGCATCCCCTATGCCCTTAATCTCTACCCTGACTCCAAAGTGCATTTCTCAGCAAAGCTTCATTTCAAAGATGCCGGAGACTCTGCATGGTGAACTGGCTCTCAGGGCTTCTTTTGGAAGATTTCTCCATGTCTCCTTACCAGTCCACTTTGGCCAGCCCTCTAGCCAAGCCGACGTCCCAAAGGCCTATGTCTTGTGGCACAAGTATCCTCCACTGATTGGTACCTCCCAAGGCTGACAAGTGCCCATTGTGCATCATGGACAATGGTGGTGGGCAGGGCTGTGTTAGCAAGAACTGTGACCCACGGCTGTGTATGGAACAGACTGCCAAAGGAAGTATTCTCTTTCTTGAGACTGATTTCTATCACCTTAGGATTATCCTCTGTAAAATACCTTTTTTAATTTTCAATTTGGGTTCTTTTTTTTATTCTGTTTGAAGATTCTAGAATCTTGAAGCTTGTTTGAGAGAATGAGTATCACAGCATCACAGCCAATCGAATGTGGCAGAAATGTAAATCAGCCCCTTCAATTTCTCAATGTGGATGCTAATGTCCATTGATATGGAAGGGCTTGGACCACGGAAAACACTCAGCTATGGAAGTGGGGTCCCCTGATACTCAGCACTTACACCTTCTATGTGTGTCTGTTTAGCCTGTCAGTGTACATTGCAGTCATCTGTATGTGTCAATAGCTATTTCAATGAGAATAAAATTACACATGAGTAACACTGAATAATTATCAAGTATTAGATGATGCTCAAAGCATATTTTTCTAAAGTTTGATTCACTTAATTGGACAGCGAGAGAGAGAGAGAGAGAGAGAGAGAGAGAGAGAGAATGAATCTTCCATTCATTGGTTCACTTCTCAAATGCCTGCAACAGCCAGAGATGGGCCAGGCTGAAGCCAGGAGCCAGGAACTCAATCTGGGTCTCCCACATGGGTAAGTTTCCCACTTAATCCAGGTCTCCCATGTGGGTGACAAGAACCCAGTTACTTGAGCTGTAATGACTGCTGCCTCCCAGGATCCACTTCAGGAGGAAGCTGGAGTCAGGAGGTGGAGCTGGGCATCAAACCCAGGCACTTCAACATGGGATGTGTGTGTGTCTCAACTGCTAGGCTAACACACCCCAGCCTTCTCAACTGTTCACTCTCCTGAGACACCCCCTGCTGCCTCCTGGAGGTAACCTTATCAGGAAGCTGAATCAGAAGCAGAGCGGGAACTTGAACCCAAGCTCTCTGGTATGGGATGCAGGTGTCCCACGTGGTAGATCACTGCATGATGATGTCCAATCTCTCAGCGTGTTTGCGTATGTAACGTCATTTACCCTTATGAAAGCCCTGTTCAGTGGGTATCAGTATTATCCTCAGTTCACATCTGAAGTGTATGAGGCACAGATAAGTTTAAGAACTGGACTTAGCCTGTAGGGAAGTCTTATTGGTCATATTTTTGTTGGGACTCGGGACTGTATATCCAGCTGCAAATATGTACTGAACTCTAGAGTGGGCAGGGCCCTTGGCTTTCTGGTGGGAAGAAAGATTAGGTGAGTGGAGCAATGGCAGCAGCACACGGGTGGTGGGGTTCAGAGGAAGGACTTTGTGGAGGTGGCATTTGAGTGGTCTTGGGAATGCACAGACATTTGCCAACTGGAGAACAGATGTTTTTGCACAAATGAATGGAAGTGCCTGTGGCAGGGAAAAATCAGGAGAGTGAGAAGTTGGGAGGGCTGGGGTGTGTTAGCCTAGCTGTAGGGACACATGCATCCCATGTTGGAGTGCCTGGGTTTGACGCCCAGCTCTTGCTGCTCAGGGAGATGCTAGGAGGCAGCAGTGAGGGCTCATGTAATAGGGTTCCTGCCAATTATGGGAGACCCGGATTAAGTTGCTGGCTCCCAATATCAGCCGCCTGGCTGTTGCAGGTGTTTGGCAAATTAATCAGTGAATGGGAGCTCTCCCTATTTCTCTGCCTCTGAAATTAATTAATTAATATTAAAAAAAGAAATTCAGAGTCCTAGAAGGCAGAGATGGGAGCCAAAGAGCTAGGCTGGGAACAAGGTGCACAGTGCCTGAATAAGGAATGTAGATTATCCTCAGTGCCTAGGAGCATTTGTGGGTAGGTAGGTGACAGAATCAGGTTTCAAGGAGTGTGTGCTGCGTGGGCAATCAAAGCTAGGTGAGACAGGTGGCAAGGAAACCTGTGAGGGGGTTGTGTGGTGGCTGGGGAAGGGCCCCCCTCCAGTCATCCGGGCAGCACAGGCTGCCTGCATGCCCTTGCTCTCTGTGTTCATGGCTCGAGCTGCTTGCTCCCTTCAGTGTCTTCTGGCAGCTGTGGGCTGTTTTTCCAGGACTGTGCTCAGGTGCCCCTTAGTCCCCACCCCAAGCAGGCATGAGCTCTCTGCTCTGTCCTGGGTGCGTTCTGCCTTCTCTTTTGCACACATACAGCCTTGCTGCAAACTTTGTGTACACTTCTCCAAACCCAGCTCCTTGAAGGCAGGACCAGACCTCTGCCTCCTTAAATTCTTGGCACAGTGCCTGGCAGTTAGTGAGCTCTCCTTAAGTGTGTGATGAAGGCATATGCTTTCTAAACAAAGAAAATGCCTATACATATAGGAAGAAGAGTCCACATTTGGGAGGTGGTTTTCTAAAGTTATGTCAGGGGTTGGCCAACGATGGCCCAGGGGCCAAATCCAGCCCTCTTTATTTACTGCTTTTGTAAATAAAGTTTTATTGGGATGCAGCCAAGCCCGTGTGTTTATGTGTTGTCTACAGCTGCTTTCACTCTACAATGGCAGAGGTGAGTTGTTGTGACAAGACCATATGGCCTGAAAATCCAAAAACATTTACTGTTTGGCCATTTCCGACAAAAGTTTGCCAACCTCTGAGTTAGATGAATAGGGTTAATGCCTAGAGGTAAATGTTAATGGAGAGGAAAGAGGGAAGATGTTTCTTCATTTTTCCTTACCGTGACTAAATTCTGCCTGTACCTGGTAGGCCTGCCGGTACCAGGGAAGAAATACCCACATACGTGTGTGTGTGTGTGTGTGGTGCCAAAGGGAGACTAAGGGACCTGGGAAAGAAAGGACTCGGGGCTGGAGCTGCAAAGCCGACGTTACCTGGCTCCTGCTTCTCCCCACTGCAACCGCTCTTGCTGTGTTCTCTCCTAGTCATCCAGTTTGGTTTTGTCACCCTTTTTGTGGCCTCCTTTCCTCTGGCACCTGTGTTTGCCCTTCTCAACAATGTCATCGAAGTGCGGCTTGATGCTAAGAAGTTTGTGACGGAGCTGAGACGGCCAGATGCTGTGAGAACCAAAGATATCGGTATGTGCCCCACCAGCATGCTGTGGAAAGCCTACATCTCCCCAGCCCTCCCTCCCTCCTGCACTCTGCCTCCTCCCACCACCCTCACAGATGTCGGGCATCCAGAGGGCTGGGGCGAGTCCATGCCTCTTTGCCCCTTTGAGCTGCTCATCTTTATATCCTTGGGTACAGGGATGCCACATTACCTATCCCTACTTGTCCCTTGAGCTTCCACATGGTGGGGAATACCTGTGCCCATTCTTGGGGGTCTGGCAAACTCCCCCTGGTAACTTGCCTGCAGAATATCACCCCAAGCTGCAGTGTTGTCACCACTGGGCCAAGAGTGGGGGCAAGTCAGACGTCCTCCTTTCTGTCTTACAGGAATTTGGTTTGACATTCTTTCTGGAATCGGCAAGTTCTCGGTTATCATCAATGTAAGTGCTTATGTTCGTGACACCCTAGCTCTGCAGGGAGGGCTTCCCGAGGGGCTGAGGTCTTCGAAGCAGAAAACCTGCTTTTGTTCTCTCCCACTCTTTTCCATTCAGAACTTTGCTCAACACAGTCCTCTGGTTAGTGGCACCCACATGCATTGTAACCGATCAGATTGTCACGAGAACTGTGCAATTTTATTTTTAATTTCACCAAGAGAAAGAGAGATAATTACCCATTGGATTGCATACTTTGGCCTTAAGAAAATCAGATCTGCCCTTAGAGCCAAGAATAATGAGGAAAGAATTCTACATATCTATCCATCTCTTTCCTTTGTGTTTCTACTCCCGACTTAAACAATACCTGGAACATTGCCAGGCTGTGATTCCTAATTATGGTTCCTCAGAGTTGTCAATGCAAAGTCTTAATTATCCCCATGGACTTGGGCACTGTGCAGGTTAAGATAGGACATGGAAGCAGAGGGGTCCCACCTGTTGCAACCTCCTTAACTGCCTTGCCAGACATGTCCACGTTGCAGAGGAAATCCTGTTGGGCCCCAGACAACAGCACTCTTTCTTTTGCATTCTGGGTGGATGGCAGCCAGGCAGACCCTCCTGTTCCACCTCCCAAGAAATTATCAGTCAGCTCCGTGCACACCAAGAAAGCTGTGGTCCAGCTTCCCTGGGGAGAGAGACATGGATTCTGGCCCTGGCTGTAATTCCCTACTAAGAGCACCTAGTGACTGAGAGGTGTGAGGAGAGGCAGAGAATCCCAGCCTGCTCTGGGATTTTGAACATTTGATGCAGAAAGTGCTGATCTTGACCCCTAGGCATAGGGTGCAATTTGGGAAGCAGATCTGTGGTTGTGTCTGCTAGAAAAGAGGCCCTGGGGATGAATTGCTCCCCTCCAAAGAACAGGATGACGCAAAGTTTTACTTGCCCAGCTGCTCCTAGATATGTTTACTTATCTGTAAAATTGGAGGTAATCATAGTACTCACCAGTTTTATTCTGGAAATAAAATGGGCTGACGAACAGAAAATAAGTGCTCAGCAAGTTGTAGCTATGATTATTCCAAGGGTGTTTTTCATTCTCAGATATGGCTAAGGCCATCCACACTCACATATACATTTAGAAAACAATATCTAAACTGCATTTTTTAAAGGGCTTTAATTGTTGGTGCAGAATACAGTGTAAACACCTGCCAACAAGATTTAAGATTTTCCTCGCAGAAAGTACCTCCATGTTGGAACATGTGATCATTCATTTGCTGTCTGGTTTGCTCCGTAGACATTTATAGAGCACTTAGACACACCAGATGCTGTGCTGGGCATGTGTGGCTTCATCTAGCAGGGCCCTCACTTTTCCCAAGTAGAATGGCTGAAAAAAACAACTTCAATTACACAGAATACTAAAAAGTGTTGCGAGAGAATGGTCAAATTGAGGTTACTGTGGAATCACATTTTTTGGTCTTCCCTGGCTTTCTTTCATCACTCAAGGGCAGACGCTCAATGTCTTTGCCCATGGCTCTCATCACTAGAGGTGATTTGCTCAGAAAAATCTAACACTGTGTTTGGCGTGGCCAACATCAATGCCAATTCTAATGTCTTGGAGGTGGCTTAATTTGCCAGCACCGAATGATCCCAACGGGCTTAGCATCCTTGGCTGCTGTGGGCATAATCCACTCTCCTGACAGCCACTCTCTGGTGGATTTACTTCTCTATAGCAAAGACAGAAAAGCCAGGTGAGCTAGTCACATGAGGTCAGGGACAGGTCCCTGTGCATGCTGCGTGTACTTCTGTGTGAGTCAGAGTACCAGCTCTTGATGGACAGCCCAAGAGTGGACAGTCCCTCAGTCAGATAGTGCCATCTGGACAGCACCCTCCTGACTGCTTCTCTGTGTTTGTGGTTCCATCCCGCAGGCTTTTGTCATTGCTGTCACATCCGACTTTATCCCCCGCCTGGTGTACCAGTACTCTTATAGTCACAATGGGACTCTGCATGGCTTTGTCAACCACACCCTCTCCTTCTTCAATGTCAGCCAGCTGAAGGAAGGGACACAACCGGAAAACTCACAGTTTGACCAGGAAGTGCAGTTCTGCAGGTAAAGTGGCCTTTGGGAAGGGGGTAACAGAGGCTGAGAAGCCCTGGATGTCAAGAGTTTTCAGGATAGCTTCGGATGATGTCATTCTCCTTGCCCTCTGTTTCCTGCTCCGCTCCCACCAATCAATCAATTTCAATAAATCAACAAAAATGTATTGGATGCCTTTTGCTAGATACTACAGTGGAGGAGACAAATAACTGTATAGCACAATCCTCTCCATCAAATAGTCTGGGACGTGGTTGGGAAGAAAAGAAGCTGACCGATGGGACAAAGCAGGTCAGGGAGCATGGAGATGTTGAAGATGTCCAAGGAGATGACTGGGGACTATAATGGAAAGGGTAGGCTTCCTGGAGGGGCTGCTAGGTGTTGTGTCACATTCTAGATGGGGAGTCAACATGGAGTACAGATGAATTGGGGAATTTAGATAAATACTTAGGGGCTATGTAATGTGGTTATCAAGGAAAATGGTTGGGAGATGGTAATGAGGAATAATGTAAGAAATACAATTGACTCTTAGACCTATCAGTGTGATCAATTGTGAACTGAAATTGATCACTTGGACTAGTGAGATGGCATTCGTACATGCCACCTTGATGGGATTGTATTGGAATCCCCTGGCACGTTTCTAAAGCCACCATTTGGGGCAAGTCTGATTGAGCATGTCCCAAATTCTACATCTCTTCCCTCTCTTATTCCCACTCTTATATTTAACAGGGATCACTAGAGATCACACAAACAAGACTAGTGTCTGCTAATACTAACTGATAGAATCAAAAAGGGAGAGAACGATCCAACGTGGGAAGCGGGATATACAGCAGACTCATAGAATGGCAGATGTCCTAAATAGCACTCTGGCCTCAGAATCAGCCCTTAAGGCATTCGGATATGGCTGAAGAGCCCATTAGAGGATTTTAGGCATGGAAAGCCAAGACACTCTGGCAAAAAACAAAAAAACAAAAAACAAAAAACAAAAAAAAAACAAAAAAAAAACAAAAACAAACCCTAAATGAAAGATCTCTGCGAGTGAGATCCCAGTGGAAAGAATGGGGCCATCAAAGAAGGAGGTACCTTTCTCTGAAGGGAGGAGAGAACTTCCACTTTGACTATGACCCTGTCGGAATAAGATCAAAGTCAGAGAACTCAAAAGGCTTCGGTAGCCTTGGCAACTCATGACTAGAGCCTAGGGAGATTACTGACGCCATAAACAAGAGTGTCAAATTGTTAAGTCAACAACAGGAGTCACTGTGTACTTACTTCTCATGTGGAATCTGTCCTTAATGTGTTGTCCAGTGTAAAGTAATGCTATAACTAGTACTGAAACAGTATTTTACACTTTGTGTTTCTGTGTGGGTGCAAACTGATGAAATCTTTACTTAATATATACTGAATCGATCTTCTGTATATAAAGATAATTGAAAATGAATCTTGATGTGAATGGAATGGGAGAGGGAGCAGGAGATGGGAGGGGTGCGAGTGGGAGGGAAATTATGTGGGGGAAGCCATTGTAATCCATAAACTGTACTTTGGAAATTTATATTTACTAAATAAAAAAAATAATAAAAACAAGAAATACAATTGAGGGGATCTCAAGTAGTTCATGGAAAGTGGAATTAAATTTTTATTTTGGTGCAAAAATTTGACATCCATGCATAGAGAGTTCTTCAAAAAGTTCGTAGAGAATGTGTGTTGTAAAAAAAAGTCTATGTGTGGGGTGGGCATTGTGGTGCAGCAGGTGAAGCCACCAGTTGGATGCCCACCTGCTCATACTGGGCTGCTGGTTTGAGTCCCAGATATTCTACTTACAATCCAGCTCTCTTCTAAGGCTTCAGGGAAGGCAGCAAGTGATAGCCCAAGTACTTAGATCCCTGCTACCCATGCTGGAGATGTGGATGGAATTCTGGCTTCAGCCTGGCCCCACCTTGGCTATAGCAGCCACTTTGAAAGTGAACCAATGGAAGGAAGACCCTTCTCTCCCTCTCTCTCTGTCATTTTATCTTTTGAATATAAATAAGTAAGTAAATATTAGAAAAATCTGTATGTGGACTTCAAAAATTTATTTTGTACCAAAATAAATTTATCCTTTAATTCCATTTTCTACAAAATTTTTGAAGCACCCTTGTATATTTACAAACTCCTAGGAGAGTATAAGGCAAAACATTGTTGAATGTAGATAGAATGAAGTACATAATGGGAAATTCTGAAATCTTATGGGAATTCTTTTTAAAAATTTATTTTTATTGATTTGATAGGCAGGTGGGTAGGGGGAGACAGAAAGAGGTCTTCCATCTGCTGGTTCACTTCCCGGATGGCCACAATGGCTGGGTCTGGGCCAGGCCGAAGCAAGGAGCCAGAAACTTCATATGGGTCTCCCACATAGGTGGCAGGGGCCCAAGTAGTTAACCATCTCTGCTGCTTTCTCAGGTGTATTATCAGGGCACTAGATCAGAAGCAGAGCAGCTGGGACTCGGACTGGCACTCTGATATGGGATGCCAGCGATGCAGGTGGTGGCTTAATCTGCTGTTCCCCAGTGATAGGAATTTTAATGTCATCCAGTAGGAAGATATGGGCCTTCTTAGTATCAGGAAATGAGAGGATAAAGGGCAGGTCTAGGAAAATTGACCTGATGTCAGAGAGGAAGACGGCTCGAACTGGGAGAACTCAGGATGGTTGCAAGCATTACTCATACACAGACCATATTAAGCACAGATCATGTGGCAGAAGAAATCAGGAGAAAGGGAAAAGATGGACTATAGCATGTAATATGTTGCAAGGCTGGTGACAGCAGACATAGGAGAGAGGCTGAGTTTAGGATTGCTCCAAAATTTGGGCATATGTCAGAGGGCTAGGAAATTGTGCTCCCAATGAGAGTGACAGGAAAGATCTAAGAGAATCTAACTCTGTGGTGCACATCATAAATTTTATTTCAGTCTTGTTGCATTTGAAATGATGGTAGAAAACCCAAGGGGGGCAATTTTAACCTAACTCTTACACACACTGAGCTAGAATTTCAGACGGGTGATCGAAAGCCATCCCCACAGGGATCGCTGAAGCCAAGAAACACAACACTCGTTCCTATTTGTCCAGGAAGGACAAATAGAGAGAAGTGGAGCAGATGGGAAATCGCACATTTTAACCCTTTTGTATCCTGGTTAAATGCTTGTCCCTGCAAAGAAATTGACCAGAGATTTCCTCTCATATATATATTTTTAAAGATTTATTTATTTATTTGAAAGGCAGAGTTACAGAGAGGCGTTGGGGGTAAGGTCTTCCATCCACTGGCTCACTCCCCAAATGGCTGCAACAGCCAGAGCTGGGCCAATCTGAAGCTAGGAGCCAGGAGCTTCCTCCAGGTCCCCTTTGCAGGTTCAGGGGCCCAAGCCCTTGGGCCATCTTCTACTGCTTTCCCAGGCCATAGCAGAGAGCTGGATCAGAAGTGGAGCAGCTGGGACTAGAACCAGCACCCATATGGGAAGCAAACACCACAGGCGGCAGTTTTACCCGTTATGCTGTAGTGCTGGCCCCTCCTCTCATAATATTTCAAATAATTACAGCAGTAACAAAAACCTAGGAAAAGATGTAGGGTAAACATAAATATTTTCAGACCATCCTCCATAGTGTCTGGTGTCAGAACTGTCAGTGCCTCCATTGAAGAAGCTGTGTCTTCAGTTGTGTTTGCAGCCTGCTGACCCTGGGCACATCTACCATGGTACCTGGTCAGTTCCCAAGGTCGCCATCTAAGGTGACTGCTGAAGTTCAGATTCAGAGTCTGAGTGCATGAATGGGTTGGTCTGCCCCATCCAGATGGCTGAGTGTAACAACCAGAGTAATTTATGGTTTCAATAACAGTAAAAAGAATCTTTTGGACCCAGGAGCAATTACTTGAGGGTTCAACTCCAGCCAATCAAGAAGAGAAGAAAAACCAGTGTCCAGACCTCAGAATGGATGAATGCATTTACTCATATCAGTCTTGATTTGGGTTTTCTTCAGCTCTGGGGCTAAGACGCTGACCTGTGGACTGAAGTTGCACTGCCGTCAGACTTGCTACTAGACTGTGCACTGCCCAAGGCCACTCCTCTATCTGGCTGGTGTGCTGGACTGTCTGTCCTTGGTGCTGGATTTTGGCCTGCAGATCCAAACATACAGTCTCACAGAACAGAGGGTCTGCACCAGCTCCAGGTCTTTTCCTGTATCATCTAGGTCTGCTAGATTCAGTCAACATATTTGCATTACACAAATAGGCATCAAAAAGTGAGAAGTAGAAAATGTATTGCTATAACTTAAAAGGGAACAGAGAACCCTTTTTGCAACTCCTCATTCCACATAGAAGGAAACTAAGGCTTCGAAAGCTGAGGAGCTCTCTAGCATGGCAGAGATTTTCAGAGACATATCTTGAACAAAAACTCACATCTACCCAAGGGCCTCCAAGTGCAGTGGGCGCAACACTAGAGTGACTGGTGAGGCCAACACTGTTCCCTTAGCGATCTGGAAGCACATGTCTGTCATAGACACAGAGGGGTCGCTAATCTCATTCCTGACTGTAAGATCTCCCAGTAACCCCTGTGTATATACTTTTCAGATATTTTGAGGGCTACCTGGCTTAAACAAAAAGGGACTTTTTTTATTTGATAGGTAGAGTTATTGACAGTGAGAGAGAGACAGAGATAAAGGTCTTCCTTCCATTGGTTCACTCCCCAAATGGCTGCCACGGCCGGCGCTACAGCGATCCGAAGCCAGGAGCCAGGCACTTCCTCCTGGTCTCCCATGCAGGTGCAGGAGCCCAAGCACTTGGGCCATCCCCCACTGCCCTCCTGGGTCACAGCAGAGAGCTGGACTGGAAGAGGAACAACTGGGACTAGAACCCGGTGCTCATATTGGATGCCAGTGCCGCAGGCGGAGGATTAACCAAGTGAGCCACAGTGCCGGCCCAAAAAGGGACTTTAATGCCCTCTGCCCCATTGAAAGTTGCAGGTGGGGTTAATCACATTTTAGGCAAGACTTC